TTCCCACATTCACACACACACATTCTCTTCATTATGGGCGCATTTCGCCATTGTTACTGCCGCTTGCTGTGGTACCATTTCGGTCTGTTCGATTTGCTGTTTTCTTATTTGCCCGATATGGATGGATGCGCGGCACTTGTTGGTGCTTGCATAAACGACGCAACCAAAGAAAGTTGGCGTTTGTGGAGAGAAAGGGGGTGGGGGAGAGAGGTGGGGTGCGAGAAATGGCTGCTGATGCAGCAGCCAACGACGACGAAGGCGTGGAGACCAAGAACGATATATTTCCGTGTGTGTGTATTTGTGCGTGTGTGTGTGTGTGAATTCATGTGTTGACAGCAGAATGCAGCAAGAGAAGGCGACAATGGCGTCGCCTGAGCCACTGCATCACCACATCACAGAAGCGAGCAAGGTAGACACACCTTCACTTTGATGAAGAAGTATGGCAGGTACGGGTATGCCACCTTGAATCTGGTATTCGCAAGCAACAAAATAGAGACAAGACACACACACACACACACACACACACACACACACACACACACACACACACACACACGCACGCACGCACGCACGCACGCACGCACGCACGCACGCACGCACGCACGCACATACACGCACCTGCCGCCGTCCTCCTCCATGAAGTAAAAGTCGACGGCGCTGCGCACGTGGCCTTCACTGTCACGGAATACAGTCTGAGAAGATACCACGCAAAAACAAGGTATGCAACAGACGTGAGGGCACAGTTTGGAATGGCAGGCATCAGACCGCCAAGCAGGATCGGGATACGATGATGGCATAGCAAACAACAAAACCGCCAATCAACCATCACCAGGCCCCTCACACATCCCCTCCCGTATTGCCACCCACCGATTGCATGTTGAGGAGCCATCCAAGGCGGGTTGGCCCGCTTGTGAACTTGGTGAAGCCAAACCGCGCATCCATGCGATCGTCCGCCTGAAAGCACAGAGGCAAAGGTCAAACACAACAACAAGCGGGTGGGATGCGGAGTGGGTGTGACTAGTGGGTGTGACTATCTGTTGGTTGCAGGAAGAGGGGGAAGGGGTATGGCCACGGGTGAGGTGTGAGTTGTGATGATCACCCTCATTCGCTGTGTGTGTGACAGACCTGCGCCATCTTGACGAGGCGATCCAACTTGCTCTCCAAGTAGTCCAGCTCACTGAAAAGAGTATACGCAGGAGCATGTGTGGGTGCAGGTGCATATGTGGGTGCATGCGCATGAGCATGTGTGGGTGCATGTGTGGGTGCATGAGTGGGTGCATGAGTGGGTGCATGAGATCAAAGGCAGGGCATGGACACCCGCGGCAGCACAGAGGAGCGGCAGTAGCAACCGTGGCACTTCTGTTCGCTTCTTTCCTTCACACCCTACCCTAACTCCTCCTTCCCTTCACATCGTCCCTCCTTCACCGCCTCAGCCACGCACTAGTCGTCTGCATCGCGGTCCTGCTTGGCCGCCTTGCCGTCTCTTCTGTCGGCACCGCTGCCGCCGGCACCACTGCCACCGAATCTGCCGCCATTGCCGCCATTGCCGCCATTGTTGCCTCGCTGCTGGAACGACGACGAAGACGATGAGCCGTTGCCACCAGGGCCTGGGCGTCTCCGCTGCTTCTTGTAGCCCATGGTGTCCGTGACGTCAAGCTACTCTCGACGCCTTGCTTCTCGTCTCTCTGTCTTGGTGTACGTGTGTGTGTGTGTGTGTGTGTGTGTGTGTGTGTGTGTGTGTGTGTGTGTGTGTGTGTGTGTGTGTGTATGTGTGTGTGTGTGTGAGTGTGTGTGTGCGATGTGGGAGTGAGAGTGAGAGTACTTTGTATTACAGAGTGGTTTTTGGTTGTTTTATTGTGGTGTCGGGACTGGTTGCGGGTTGTTCTGGATGATAAGGAGACAATAGTTGTGTAGGGTCTATCTAAAGAGAGATGAGCAGGAACTTAGTGAATATGGTGATAGTCATAAAAATATAAGAAAGGTCGAGGAGTGCCAGCGCAAACAATTCAGTAGGAGCACTAAAGGGTGGTCACAGAGGAGGATAGAGGAGAGAGCAGATGAGGATAATATAAGTACATGATGAGCAGACGTTGAGGAGTATACGACGTAAGTAGGATCATTTACATAAGTGTATTAAAGAACAATGAGCAGAGAGCGGGGGAAGAGGAGTGAACTACGAGAGTAGGGAAGGAAGGGGGGGGGTGGGTGATTTAGAGAAGGGGGCTTTACTTATATAGAGCAGCCACTAAGAGCACAATAAGCATGATCCATGTCAAAGGCCCGATAAGATGTTTTAGTAACCGAATA